AAACACGTTTCAGCAGTTACCAGGAAGAAAACCTCTTACCCATTCTCAAAACTGGTGCACAACTGTAACTGATGAGTTTTCTGACTAGCTGACGTAGGAACAGGAGAAAAAAAAAATACTCATACTGAAACAAAACACAGTCTGCTGCTTTTATACACACTTCGAGCACTACTTCACACAGGTGCTGTCAATCAGCAATCAGGGTCATGAGTCAGCCAGCTGCTGGGATTTTCACTCAGGTTTCCTATTCATTACTAAAACTGGAAAATATTTTAGTGGGAGTAACACTCAGACTAAATTGAATGTTCATCCCAGTTGAAACACAGCATAAATGTATAACAGTTCATTATATTCATTCTGTTTTTTAATTTTCTCTTATAAATAATATTCACCTCAGTTTTTCTCCATCATCTCCTGTGATGATTGGTGTTCAACTCGGACCAATGTTGGATGTTTGACCAAGTCCTGCAGTCTCAGAACCACTGATATAAACTATACAAGAGGACACACACACACACACAATAATGCTTTATTTTTAAATCATTATTAGGAACGTTTACAATAATTTCTTAAGGTGTTCTACAGTGCCATCATGTGGTCGTGGTTTAAGTCATCATAATGCTTATGAAGCCAGACAGTGTTTTATATCTCTGAAAACAAAGAGGTGGGTTTTAAGAAAGAAGTTTTTATATAATAAATAGATGGCAAAATTTCTATAAAATAATCAGAATCAGAATCAGGATACTTTATTGATCCCTAGGGGAAATTATTTTTCGTTACAGTGCTCCATTATAAACAAACATTAACAAAGACAGACAATACACTAACTAAGATGCTTCCCCAGCATGCAACAGCATAGAGGATCGCACTGGCCACAACAGACTCAGAAAATCCTGAGCATTTTCTGGCAGATGTTGAAGGACCTCAGTCGCCTCAAAAAATAGAGACGACTCTGACCCTTTCTGTAAAATGCTGTGGTGTTTGTAGCCCAGTCCAGTTTATTGTCAGTGTGTACTCCAAGGTATTTATAGTCCTCCACAATGTCAACACTGACCCCCTGGATTGAAACAGGGGTCAAGTGTTTCCTGGTCTTCCTGAAGTTCACTATCGATTCCTGGGTCTTTGCCACATTGAGCTGCAGATGATTCTGCTCACACCACGTAACAAAGGAGTCGACCACAGTCCGGTACTCTGTCACATCATCCCTGCTGACACATCCAACCACCGCAGAGTCATCAGAAAACTTCTGAAGATGGCAGGTCTCTGTGCAGTGGCTGAAGTCTGTGGTGTAGAGGGTGAAGAGGAAGTGGTGCCCCTATGTTGCTGATTACCTTGTCAGACACACACTGTGGGAGACGTACATATTGTGATCTTCCTGTCAGGTAATCAACAATCCAGGACACCAGAGAAGCATCCACCTGCATTGCTGTTAACTTATCACCCAGGAGGGTCAGCCTGATGGTGTTGAAAGCACTGGAAAAGTCAAAAAACATGACCCTCACAGTGCTGGTCCAGATGGGTGTAGACACGATTGAGCAGGTAGATGATGGCGTCCTCTGTTCCGAGACGAAGCTGATAAGCAAATTGAAGGGGATCCAGATGTGGTCTGACAATGGGTCGCAGCTGGTCCAGGATGAGCCTTTCCAGGGTCTTCATGATGTCGGAGGTCAGTGCCTGTAATCCTGGGGGCCACTGGGACGTGGCGTCTTTGGAATAGGGATGAGGCATGATGTCTTCCACATCACTGGTACCCTCTGCAGACTCAAACTCAGCATAAACAGTTTATGAAAGACTCCACACAGCTGGGGGGCACAGGCCTTGAGGACGAGGGGACTCACTCCGTCTGGTCCAGCAGACTTGCCTGAGTGAAGTCTCCTCATTTGCATCTCAACCTGGTATTGAGTGAAGGTGATGGGTGGGGGAGGGGTGTCAGGAATCTCACAGGAGGCAACAGCGCCATGTGAAGAGAGAGGCTGGCACAGTCCTTAGTCACCCACGGCTTGTTATTTGGGTAACAATGAACAGTCTGAGCTGGAACAACGGAGTTGGTGCAGAAAGTTATGTAGTCTGTGATACACTCAGTAAGCCGATTGATGTCCTCGGCGTGAGGCTCACAAAAGATACTTTCTTTGAAGAAAGTACACAAATTCACTTTATAATAGGCATACATGACATTTGTTGTCTCTTAAAGAAAACAGGTTAAGGAGATACTTCTTTCCCCTTTAGGTAAACATTGACTTCAAGAATCTGCTCCAGGTGAGGTTCGAACTCACAACCTCAGCATAGCTCATTCCAATACTGCCATATAAGTACCACGCGCTACCCAATTGCGCCACTGGAGCACATGCACAAAGCTTTGATTCCTTTCTCCCTTCATTCAATTGGAAGCCAATGTAGTGAAGCCAGAATCGGAGTGATGCGATCAAATTTCCTTCTACCAGTTAAAAAACGTGCTGCCGCATTTTGCACTAATTGCAAGCGTGACAGGGTGCCCAACCCAACCCAAATTATAAGGGAACTGCAATAGTCCAAACGTGACGTGATAAAAGCATGAATAACAGTTTCCAAATTGTGTTTGGAAAGGAAAGGCTTGACCTTCGATAGGCGTCTGAGGTGATAAAAAGACGATTTTACCACCCTATTTAAATGACCATCAAAGGAATTTTTAGTATTATATAAAACACGGGGGTTGTGTGAGTTGGCCGAAATAAGTTGAGAAAGGCAGGCAAGTTTATCGGCTTTAACCGCCTTAGGATAACTTTTCCAACTACTTTTTAAGGTTTCCAGACAGAAATGCAGCCTGTCTTTTTTCCGCTGTCTTTCACATCTCCCACATTGTTTTCTAATTTCTCGGGTGAAATCAGTTAGCCAAAACCTTGTCTTGGATTTACATTGTCTTAGTGTCAATGGGGCAACAACATTCAGCGCAGATTTACAAGCAAAATCAAAATACAGAAGTAAGTCATTTGAGGTAGGCAACTCCGAAGAATATGACATGAGATTGTCAAACAATATAAAACTGTTCGGCAGTATCAGAACGAAAGGCACAATAATATCGAACAGGCACAGCCCAATTTGCAATGGCGTTAAGAGAAGCAATATCAAATAAAATAGGCATATGGTCGGAAAAAAACGCATCTTTAACACATACATTGCACACAGATAGATCATAAGATAAAACCAAGTCTAGCGGGTGTCCACGTTCTTAAGTGGCACCATTTACAGATTGGACGAAATTAAAAGACTTTACTAAGTCCAGGTATTATTAAACACCGTGAATTAACAGTTTGGAGCACTAGAAGAAAGGGTGTACCCTGCCTCTTTTTTCATCTTGTTTAAGTCATCACAATTAAAACGCCTTGTAGTTGAGACATACTAAAAACACAGGAGTTTTAATAAAGAAAGATTTTAGGTAATATGTGAATGGCAAAATGTCTATTTTGTATTACTTATATTGAGTATACTTGATGTAATCAGTCTCTATTATTTGATAGTCTATTTATATTCTGTATATGTTTTTCCTATTTCACAATAGAGTGCTACCTAACACAATCTTTGTAGCAGTGAGTGCAAGATCGCAGCACTGTAGCGCCAAAAGAGTTCCATTTATGAGCCTATAATAAATTACGGGGAAATAAATTTCAGGCCATTTAAGATATAAAATTGCCTCTGCAACAGGCTGGTTACCTACAGAGGTGGGAAAAGTATAATCGTTGTGTACTTACGTAGAGGCACAGATACTAGTGCCAAACCCTCAGAAACATGGGGAGAATATGCAGATTCCACACAGAAAAACCCAAGGACGATGGTGGAATTGAACTCAGGTCCTTCTTACTGTAAGGCAACTATGCTAACCAACGTGCTGCTTCAAACTGCTTACTCAAAGAAAAAATTAGCCTCTGAAATATACTCAAAATCAAAAGTCAAAGCTCTTTGGAGAACATTACTAGCAGCTATTTTTGTGCAAAGCTAAGTGAACACTGTGCTGTATGTATTATATTATTAATAACAGTAAATGTGAATAAAGACTTTATTTCAGTCTAAGGTTGAGTCCTAATACATTGGGTGTACCTTGCCTGTTGTCCTATAGGTGCTGGGAAAGGTTCAAGTCCCAAGTCCCCATGCAGATGTGAGTTATCAATGTATATATGGAAAATAAAACCAGAAAATGAACTGCAGAACAATTCTCCTTCCATACCAAAAGATTAGATATATATAATTTTTATTTCGAACATGCAAATATAATTGAAATAACAACAGAAAAAAAACAAACTCAAAAATCATCAAGTTTTCATGTATATATCTTTGTCTACAGACTGCGTGTGCTCAAAAAGGAGTAGGATGAAGTTTATACTTTTCTTGTTCCTACCCCCTTATTTCAGATTTCATTGCTTACAAATCCATATCCAGGATTCAACATTATTTGATCATATATGGTTAACTATGTACAAGTCTAACACATTGAACATACACAAATAAAAACCATTTTCAGCACGTAAACCAGAACAACAACAAGATTCAAAAAGCATTGTAGATCATGCTTGTAGGTAGTGTTGGGAAGGTTACTTTTAAAATGTATTCCACTACAGAATACATGCCCCAAAATGTATTTTGTAACATATTCCGTTACGTTACTCAATGAGAGTAACGTATTCTGAATACTTTGGATTACTTAATATATTATCATGGTGTTTACAACTACATGAATGTGACTTATTACTATTACTGAAGGTCCGAGGCTCCGAACCGTAGTAAAGGGACCTCTGGC